GAAAGAAAGGGCAAGATGATGGGGCCAAACCCAAAAATAGTAGCAAAAATAATATGATTATATATATGATAACGTAATTAAATGAATAAATAAATAAGAGCTAAAAATAATTAGAAAATGATGTTGCATCAATGTTTGTTAGTGTATTTCTTCATGTGTGCAAATAGGTCCAAGGAAGTGGGTGAGATTCACAGAATAAATAACAAATGTGATTAATAACATGTATATTTGTATGTAAATAATTAATGCGCTTGTATCATGTTGTGCTGCAGAGCTGCCGGGACAGAATGACATCACATGAAGCAGCTTTATGTTTACTGTGAGGTGCTAATGAAAAGAGCTCAGCAGTGTTAATTTACCAGCACACGACTCTCAGACAGCTAGACAGACTGAGAGAGAATGAGTGAGATTACAACATGGCCACCAAAAACAGATCGTAGAGTCTGGCATAGCCTTGCGTAGTCTTCAGATACAAAGGGCTTTCGGTTCATTTCGAAGAGACTGGGATTATATGGAACAATATTTTTAGACCCAACCTACATCACAGAGGACTCCCTCATTTTCTCAAGACCTTGACATCCCTGTGAGGAACCACCATCCTAAAATGTAAAAGTATCTCAACAGTTTCTTGTACAACACTGTAAAAAGTGTAAAAATCTGTAAGCTGTTTAACAGTAAGTTTTCTTAACATATACTGTGAACAGGGCTTGACATTAACACCTGCCAACCCACCAAATGTGGGTAGGTTTCAGCTGTGGCGGGTTAGAGAGCCACTGCCATTTTGGCTGGTTGAAAATCATATTTAAATGTTAGTGTTTTTAAAAAGCAGATCAACAATAAGGATGGCCTAATGGCGCGGGGCCAGCATGAGAGATGACAAAAAAGACTGTGTTTGCGTGAGCAAACGAACCGTTGAATACCGAATGAGAGGATGATCAGGCGCACTATGAGACTATCCTCGTTCACTGACGAGGGCTTCAGGGTCGCACACACAGGTGATGTGATACGCGTGAGTGTTTAAAAGCATGCGTGCACACGTTACTTTGCGCAAAGCATCGATGCCTGGAAATGCAAGTGGTGTGATCAGTTCTCTTTGAAATAGTCTGGACAAAAAAGTGACGCTCGCACAAGCAGCAACCTCCCGCTCTCCCTCATGAAGTAGCTGAAACTGCAATTGATTGAAATTCCGCTTGTCCTGGCTCCATAATAGAGCAAATTTCTATTGACCATAATGCTAAAATGACCAACTTTACAGCAGTAAAAAAGGTATTTACAGCCTGGTACAAAGAACGATTTTGGATCGTATAGCTAATATTACCCTTCATGATAACTGTGAGGGGGTGAATTTTTTAATAACTCATTTGTTTCATTGATATTAGGTTTCATTAAGTCTGCATAATTAAGGGTGTGGCCACTTGAGTGACAGACAGGTCTATACTTCACCATAGCTGATTTCGGCTGATTAGCTGCTGAACTCGGCATTTTCATACTATTTTTGTTTTGTTTTATGTGGCTTTACACAGTCAATTGCTTTTTGGAATTATTTCTTACAATTATCAGATGATATGGCCTGCTATGTGCACTTATTTTAAATAAAAAAAAGTTAAAAACTAATTGCAACACGATTGGATAAGCTCTAGGCAGACAATAAAATAAATAAAACAAACAAAACAATTTAGAACAAACAATTAAGAACATACATTGTTTACAGAATCAGACCATATATAGAAATATAAATATGAAATATATAAAGCACAGAACACAGTCAGGTGCTATTGTACTACAGGTGCAGTGTTCTTGGTAGAGTTCAACAGTTTTATCGAGGTAGGATTCAGAAATAAATAAAAGCTTCAATCTATTGGTTTTACACATTGGTATTCTCGGTCTTTTTCCTGATGGTAGCAGCTGATATTCACTGAAAAGAAGATGTTTGGAATCAGCACTACTATTAACTGCTTTTCTCATGACCGCCTGTTCATATAGTCTGTATGGGCTCATATTGTTTTATTCCTATGATTTTTATGGCTGTTTTTTGAATATGAACCAATTTAATTTTCAATTTTAATTCAGTTGAACACTATAATACCACAATCCATTTGCTCATGCTCATTGAGCAAGCTCATGCATAACACACAAAATGTGAAATTAATAAGGGGTCATGTGAGCATGACTTCTAAATCAAGTATTTTTAGCATGCCAAAGTCAAATTTATGCATATATAAAATATATTTTACCAACATATGATGAATCTACAATATGTACTTGGATTAAAATGGTTACAAAACATTGACGTACAGCTTTGCACTATAAATGAATAAAATATGGAAGTTTACTGTAAAATTTAGCAATTTCTTTCACAGTTTGTATTGTGTTTTAACTGTACATATCTGTCAAATAGGTTGCCTGTTATTTGCTGTCAATTTTACAGATTTTTTACAATAAAAGAACTAGTTTACACCATGACCTAGCAACACACAGCAGGACAAGCTTTCAGTGATAAGCAATTTTGGCATCTGCACCAAACACAAGGCGACATGAGAGAAAGATTTAAATACCAGTCACTGCACTACCAAGGAAATGGTAAAGTAAGGCAAATTCTTCAACATAAATGACCTCATTCTCAAGTTAAAAAATATTTAACATAAAAGATTCAAATCTCACTTACAAATGCAGCAAACACTGCCATGCCCGAATCACACACTGGCATCTCCATCTCTATGTCTGTCAGTTTATCACTCACTCACTCACTCACACTTACAGCGGTGCCAAAAGAGGTGTCAATAGAAGCAGTTCAGAAGAACCCACAGAAAACTCTCCACATGCATGACCTAAACTCAGTCATGTCAATGACAAGCAAATGATTGATAAAGAACACTACAGAAAATCCTATATAAGAAAGATTGTGTGAGTTGAAGCGCTTTGTTTTGAATGCTTCTAATAATACCCTAAAGTGGTCATGAGAACGAGACTCAAAAATGTTAAAGCATAAAGTTTATCCATATAAAATACAGACATACACTTCACCTTTACAACAGACACTTTCTAAACTACATTCTAAACATACTGTCAGTTTTTCAAAAATACAGCAGTGCCTATCATTTTGTCCAAGGGGGCAACACTGTAAATACACTTATTTTTAATATTACAGTGTGTTTGTAATAAACATAGGGCCCTTTGAAATAAGTTTTTTTTTTTTTTTTGAAAATTTAGATTTATCTGAAATTTAACTTATTAAAAGTAAACACGGAATGTGCCTGCATGGAAATACATAGATTTCCACTATTTTTTGTCTTTTAGTAGATATATTATGTGAGCCTTACTTTGTTTACTAAACAAGTGCTTTTAATTTGATTTACATTGTAAACCTTAAATAAATGTTAAGTTTTAATAATATATATTTTTAATTCATGTTTTAAGTTTTTAGTTTCTATTCTTTCAAAATCTACCCAAGTTTTAGGAACAACAAATAAAAAACTTTTAGTGGATCATTTAGTATCAGAAGTGGCTTATTTGAAAGAAAAAGGCGTCTAGATTATGCTTATTTTACCAAAATAAAATATGATCATGCCTTGATTTTTAATTATTTAATTAGAACAGTAAGGTCTGACTCTGCTTAGACAAAAGTCTTGTCACTTAACAGAAATAATGTACAGTATAGAATATAAAGTCATGCTGCAGTGGAAAAAGAATTAATATTGTGTACGACTCCCTTAAGCTTCAACAACTGCATCCATACATCTCTGCAATGACTCAAATAACGTATTAATAAAGTCATCTGGAATGGCAAAGAAAGCGTTCTTGCAGGACTCCCAGAGATCATCAAGATCAAGAACTCTTTCTTCCCATCAGCTATCAGACTTTTAAACAGATAACCAATGCACATAAACAGTCTGTTTTTCTGCTCAGTACAACACTACATTCCCCATCCTAGTTTGCACTATTTTTTTGCACATAAGCCAATTGCACTAGACACTTTTTGCATAATAAGCACAATTTAAGAACCACTATACATTGTTTACAGCTGTTTCACTACTCCAAAATCAGTTTTATATATTGTTTACTTTCATAGATATTTATATACTTACATTTTATAATTATACTTCAGTCACTTCTGTGTGTATATGTGCATTTATGTGTTTGTCTTGTATGATGTGTGTGTTGTGTGTATGACTTCACTGTGGACAGCAAAGAAAGAATCTCATTGTACAGGGAAACGTGTTTCCTTACTGTGCACATGACAATAAAGAATTTAATTTAATTTAATTTAATTTAATTTAATTTAATTTAATTTATACCTTGGATTCATCTTCAATGCCTCCTCCTTCATCTTACCCCAGACATGATCAATAATGTTCATGTCTGGTGACTGGGCGGGCCAATCCTAGAGCACCTTGATGTGGAGGCTGAAGTATGAGAAGGAGTGCTATCCTGCTGAAGAATTTGCCCTCTCCTGTGGTTTGTAATGTAATGAGCAGCACAAATGTCTTGATACCTCAGGCTGTTGATGTTGCCATTGACTCTGCAGATCTCTCACATGCCCCCATACTGAATGTAACCCCAAACCATGATTTTTTTCTTCACCAAACTTTACTGATTTTTGTGAGAATCTTGGGTCCATGAGGGTTCCAATAGGTCTTCTTCAGTATTTGTGATGATACTGAAGAAGATCTGCCACTTCTCCAAATGATCAACTAGAAGTCAAGTTATTATTTGTTGCTCTTACAACTGGGATCGACAACAAGACTTGTCAGGCACAATACATTTTTGATAAACAAAAACTAAAATTAAATTAAAATAAACTCTCTGATATTCTACGACTTTGTCAAAAAAATACAAATTTCCCTGACTTTTAATGTCTGGAACAGACCTTTTAAAATGATATTCCAGATATTCCATGACCCTTGAGAACCGCTCACAGCAAAAAGCTCTTCATTTTGACATATCAGCATCCAAATATCAGCACCACACCTGAAAATGGTCAACAGTAAAAGTGATCTTACCTGGGCGCATCGAAGCTGTCGTAGGATCCAACAGTATAATGCCGGAAGAGTCTCTTGGCTCTCTCACTGCGGCTCTCTGAAAGATGCAAACACAACCGCATCCACATTGTCACAAGTTGATATCTCTTATATCAGTAGAGGCTGCAACTACAGCATGATAACACAACACATGTCCGACTCGAAGTTTCCCGCTCTGACAGAGCGCACTGGCCCAAACCACGGTGAGTTTAGCCAGCGTGAAATGGCACAATCGCTCCCTCTCACACTCCAGTAGTGCTGTAAACTATTAATAGTCATCATAGCTGCTCTCCCTCACAGAGTCTGGCATCACAACATCACAGAGAAGCTGTGGCAATCCGACTGTCCTGCAAACACATCTGGGACTATGGAAATGACAGCTCTAAGTGTGGCGCAGATGTCTTTGATACTTTTAATGTGTTTTTGTGTGAGAAAGGAGTCTCACCTGAACGAGATTCCAGGCTACGGAGAGCAACTTCCTCCACGCAGTCTGAGGGGAACCAGCCTGTGCGTCCTCGAACCGTCCCTTCCCAATAGCCTCCTTCACCCACACTCAGCACTGAGGGAATCAAGAGAAAACAACAGTGTGTGTGTGTGTGTGTGTGTGTGTAGGTCAAATACAAGTACACAATAAAGAGACCAGAAGCGTCATGACACATTTTTGAGGCACATGAATTTTGAAATATTTCAGAACTCATTTAAATTATAAATTGTAGGTTAAAAAATGTTTTTTAGGGGTTCAAGCACGAAGCGATGAAACCCTTGTGTATTTGTTCAGATTTTTTTTTTCTGCTCTAATTTGTATCGCTTTGACACAGAAACTACTGCGGGCCTGTAGCCATGGGGGGATCGGGTGGCTCGAAAGACCCACTCCTCACTGACAAAGGCCCAGACTTTGTCCCATACATGAGCTCATTTCTCCTATTTTGACTGCTATACCATCAAAATGAATGAAAATAGCCCATCGAAATGGCTTTAAGATCAAGTAGAATACTCTGTTGGCTGTCATACTTCAGCTAATCAGTTTAAGCTTTTTCATGAGTCCAACATCCAGCTGTGCAAGAAAATCTACAATTTGACATGAGTGACGGCATCTTTCACTACTGTATTGTTATAGGGAAAACAGTTACACGTAACTTTTTCCTAAATCTTGGACTTTATTCTGTAAACAAAAAAATGACCAATAAAAAGGTGTGAAGCACCAAAAGCGGACCATATTAAAATTCATTTGAATGCTGTTTTGACTATTGATATGATATCCATGAATTTTCAAATGAACTTTTTTTACAGGAGAGGCTAGAAAAATTGTGAAGATTTACATTATTATTATTATTATTTTATTATTCAAATGGCCAAATTCTGACTGAGGAAAATTTAATGTGCTGGCCAGTTTGATATTTATAATTTGCCTAATAAATGACAATGGGCTTGTTTTTTTATTTTAAATGAATTCCTTTTTATGATATATGATGTGATAAATTTGTTTTTAAAAAAATAAGTATTTTCTTATTTCTTTATTCTAAATCTTTAGGAAATATATTTGGTACATCCAAAAGTGTGGTTATGATGATCATCTGACAAGTTATTCCAGCTTAATACAAAGCTTAAAATGTATTTAAATCTCATAATTAAATAGGAAATAGAAAAGAGAAAAGGCCCACTTATTTCACCAGGTTGGCTATGGGCCTGCACTGCTGTCACGCAAACTGTTTATTAAACATTTGTTAACTCAGTCTTTAAACTCTAACACTCTAACTAAATTTCTTTGTTGAATAAACTACTTACAAACTTTCTAACTGATAAATAACCTTATTTTGCTAAAACACTTGAACCCCGATAACTGCTGCTTGCAGCCATATTTGGTGTTGTTTTTAATATAAATAAATATCTAAATAAAAAAAGGGGTTCAACAAGGTTGACCAGGACATGACCATTCTAAATAAATTGCTGAGAATGTGTATTTTATGTACTCTATGTATGTACAAAAATAATTTTAAGGTTAATATATTTGATTGATTATATTTGCTAGTGCAAACATCTTTAAAGTCTAAAATGGTATGAGATTTTAGTCAGCTGCGAATATGATTTATTTATTTTTTTTAATTGATATGATATATTTAAATTCCTGAGATAATAATAACTTCTTACATTTATATAGCGCTTTTCTGGGCACTCAAAGCACTTTACACAATGGGGGAATATCCTCATTCACCACCAGTGTGCAGTATAGAGTCCCCTTCACTATACTGGGGCATTAGGACCCACACAGACCACATTATCATTGATGACATTACAGAATTTTTAACACAATTATCACAGCCTTACATGATATATCAGAAATCATTTTAAGATGCTGATTTAATACTCATGGGGTATTTTTATTACTAATACCAATTCTGAAAAAAAAGTTTTACTGAATATTGAATGCTTTTTCTAAAAACAAAATAAAACAAACAGAATTTATTCAAGTTATTTCTGTAAAACTGTAAAATTTAAAAACTTCAAACACAGTTAGGGTTAAAAAAATCTACTAACTAACTACTAACTACTAATTAACTAACTAAATAACTAACTAACTAACTAACTAACTAACTAACTAACTAACTAACTATATATATATATATATATATAGTTTGTATATGACTGTGGTACTTCAGTCACAAACATAGTTAATAACCATAATTAATGTTTAAACAATGTAATAATTTTTACTTTGGTTTTGTCTAATAGACCTAGAACTGCCTCTATAGCCTTGTTTACACCTGGTTTAAAGATATTCAGTCCAATTACAAATGTACAAATCTATCTAAGCTTGTCCACTTTCAACCAATTCCAGAGGTAGCCAAAATTTAATGTAATAGTATTGCTTTTGTAGCATAAATAATCCTGTTTTTTTGACTTGACCTGATTTATGACCAATTTTGTGAGAATGCACACCACAATAAGGTATTTGTAGAAAAAAATGGTTTGTTCATTCAATAGTATTCTTGTGTCACACTGAGCATGTCTGCAAAAAATGTATATGTCTTTAAAAAATCAAAACACAAGTGATCTCATCAGTATGCTATGCATGCTAATAAATCAAAAGATCAGATCAGTTAATACCTGTTGTAAACAGGACCCTTTACCCATTAAAAATAATCACTGCATGACGCTCCTGATACACAAACACACACACACACACACACATTGAATCACAAAACACATGCAAAGACATGATGGCTGTAGAGTTGTATGCACATGCATGCACGCTGACATTGCTCACAAACAGACATATACTGACATACCAACACATATCACCAGAATACATACACAGACAACGTTTATCCACACCTGTGGAAAACATACAGAAACAAACACACATTTAATGGGACCAATTTACAGACACGCACAGCGCACATCATTGCTCCTGCTTACAAAGAGAGACAAACTCACACACACACACATTCACCTTTGACTTTGTCTCCCTTGTTGAAGCTGATTTCGCGGTCACCCTGGGCCGAGTGTGAGCGAGTGGCAACAAAAACTCGGCCAGGAACGGCGCTGTAGAGACGCCGCCGCTGCCCGCTGGCTGTGCCCTGACTACTGATGGATCCCGCTCTACACAATGGCACAGGTATCAGACAACAGGGTTATCATTCATTTATTATTGGCTTTATTCATTCAAGTGTCTGTCTTCATCGGATGTGAGTGACTATACTGGAAGTTAAATAGCTTTTTGGTGTAATAAATTCTAAGAAATTTCCCGTCATCATTTTAAAATTTTAATATTAAATGTCAAGAATTGCCAAGTAAAATTTTTAATATTTACACATTTACTTGATGTAATAAATGAAAGAGTTAATTTACTAGTAATATTAAAATGTTTTCTAATCATTACAGATAAGCCTGGTAGAATTAAGTACATTTTAATCGAAAAAGCATTGACTTGGTTAGCATAAGCAGGAATCCCTACAAAAATGCCACAATTCAATTAGAAAACAATTCATTAGAATGACTGCACAGAGGCACTTTATCATTAGTTTTTGGGGAAAAGAATATGACTTTTTTTGCTTTATTTAATATTGAAAAGTTGCTGTGTAATGTTTTCATCTCTGATACATTTAAAACTCGATTATTTTTTTAAACTAGTAATGATAACATAATTATACACTGAAAAAAATTATTCAAAGATGATTCCTTGGATTTACTAAGTTTTTTTTACGTTAAAAAATTTTACGTTATTAAATATAATATGTTTGTTGAAATTCAACACAAATAGGTTGTTTGCAACAGTTTTGCAGACATCACTTTTTTCAGTGCAGGAAGCAGCATAAAAAGTGAAAATATTACAGAAAAAATATAAAATAACTGGTAACTAATGTGTTTATTTAATTTGATTGAAGCAAAGTTCCTCTTGCTAAAAACAATTTAAATTTGATTTATTCGAATAAATCTAGATTAAAAATGAAAGATAATCAGTAATCAATATTTATGAGTGTTCGGGTAACATTAAGTAACATTAACAGTTTATTTGATAATGACAAGTTAATTGGACTTGATTTAAGATTAGTCAAACTCACTTGAAAAAATATTATCAGGATGTTATCAAGTATTTCTTAGTCTGTGTTTTTCAATGTATTAATGATGATTTAGGCATAGAATCCACAAACACTGTCAGATGCCAAAAGGACAATAAAAAAAAATGGTACCAAGATATGTTCACAGTGCAAGTCTTTCCAAAGTTTGGAAGGTCAGTCAATGATTCATCTATTATAAATTTTAAATCTTGTTAAAGCAAAAAATAAACAAATATTGTAAATAAAGCATTAAGGATTTAAATGCTTTTTGATTAAATGTATTAAAATATTGGTGTCATGCAGCAAGTTGCAGAGAATGCAGTGAACACCATGAAATTAGGATTTGACTAAACAGTAGTCATAAATAGCTATCGAGTTTTCTCAATTTAAAGGGATAGTTCACCAAAAAAGGAAAATTTACTTACCATTTACCCATCCTCTAGAGTAATCTTAAAATTGTTTGTGCTTCTTTATTCTGCTGGACACAAAAGACGATATTCTGCAGAATGTTAGAAACTGGTAGCCATTGACATCCGAATTAGAAAAATACAAACCATAGTTCAAACTCTATGGTAGTCAGTGGTTACATGTTTTTAAAATTATTCAAAATATCTTCTTTTGTGTTCAGCTGAAAAAAGAAACGCAAACCGGTTTTGAACAGGTCAAGGGTGAGTAAATGATGACACAATTTTCCGTTTTGGTTGAACTATCCCTTTAAATGAGTAGGCTTGGATCTGAAAAATAGTATTGCTTGTGCAAGAGCTTAACAACTAGATAATGTCCTTTCTTCTTGCTCTTCCTCACCCTTGTCTTCCACGTGTTTGCCGGCTCCGATCGTCCCGGTCACCTGTTCGGCCACGAGATGGGGAACGTGTTCGGGCTCCACGGGGACTGCTGGAGCTACGTAAGGTGCCGCCATGCTTTAGACCCTGAGATATACATGTTATTATGATAAGCGGTAGTGTAATTATGATCTCAGATCAACCTCAGGGTAAGTACTTAGTGCAAATCAACAGTATCTATGCATACAGTGTGACAACAATGAAATAAGGTTTTGCTGGTTATCTTGACTAGATAGCCCTTTAAAGGGTCATTTTTTCAGAATTTCTTTCTTCTGTTGAACCCAAAATAAGATATTATAAAGAATGTTGGAAAAATGCAGCCATTGATTTATATAACCCTTACAAAGAATAGAACAAAACATAGCTGTCAATTACTTCAGCCTACAATAATAATAATTTAATAATAAAAAATAGGTCATTCAGCAGTAAAACAAACGAAGAACTTTTAAGCAAATGTTTCTGTAGGAAAGAAATTAAATGCTATTACTAAAGAAAAAGATAAAAGTTTCATTGAGATGGATTGTTGGTGATTGTATAAGTGTTAATGGCCAGACAGAGTAGCTGTACATGAACAATGGAAAATTAAGACCTGTTAAAAATTATTTAAGACCTTCAACACAATATTTCAGTAGATTTAAGTTGTTTTTAAGGCCTCAAATTTTGATATTTAAGACATTTTAAGACTTTTTTAACACCCTGAGGATATCCTGAATATATTGTGCAGCCCTATATTGTACACTACCACTCAAGTTTTGCTAATGGATAGCTTTTTATGAATACAAAAACAACAGCATTTGGAATATTTATAAAACACAATAACAACAACTAAATCATTCATCGACTGATCAATTACCTGTACAGAGACGATGCTTGATCCTGCAGCATTGGGAAAGGCAATCCAGTCTGGCACATTCATGCTGTTATCACTGTTGGCCCGTAAAAAGGGGTGCGGATGAGGCAGTCCAAGTGTCCGTGAGCTCTCCCTCCTTTGCGGGGCATATTTAGGAGACTCCAAAAAGGGGACTGACAAAAAAGTAAGTGAGTGAGTAAAGATGGAGGGAGAGACATACAGTAAGTACACTCCAGCTGCCCAATGGCTTTCAATATTCATTCCATGTGTACAATCACACATGTATCATCTGTATTAAAACATCATTAAGCATCACGACTTCAGCAAATATCCCCTTCTGAGTGTGTAAGGAGCAGTGAACACTGCTTGGGGATTGTGTGAATCGCAACGCAGCTAAACAGAGACAAAAGTATCAAGTTCCAAATGTCACACAGCGTGAAGAGCAAACAAATGATCTCACACAGAATTAAAAATACCACCACAAACAAAAATCTGAGCTCCTTACCTACATCTGATTCACGGTGGTTTTTAATTATTTCTCCAAGCTCAAAATGGCCAGACATCACAGCCACCTAGAAAAGAAGTTCACACGCGCTTAATATTTGCATCTGTGAATGACGCACAATGACGCAAGGCTTGGGAATAACATAATATTAAACACACGCACACACACACACACACATGCATCCACTTTTCTTCATATTAAACACAAGCGCAGCTGGCTCTGTGGAGATGGTTGAGGTTGAAGTAAAACTCTTTTGGCTCACTACAGTTTAGCTCCACCTGGGACTCGCAACGCATACAGAAACACTTCACAGTAACAGATAACAAACATACAGCACAGCTAGTGAATCGCGTAATTTCTGTGCCCCTGGCGTCACCAGATGAAGTAAAAGAATGAAAATTGTTCACAAGTGCAACAATACACTGGTAATTTAATAACATTTTTTTACATTAAACTCACACATGCACTAAATAAGCCAGAAAAATTATAATACTTACATTAGTTATAATAATCATAAGGTTAATTTTATTATTATTATTATTATTATTATTATTATATTATAATTTTACAATTATAATAATTATTATTATTGATATTCATAAATACTTATCATTAAGTTAATTCTATTATTATTTATATATGTTATTTATGCGTTATGTGTGGAGTGTGGTTTGCTATACATAAAACAATAATAATAATTATTATTATTATTAATAAAAAAAAATTAGTTTATTTTATTATTATGCATGTGTTATTTATGTGTGGAGTGTGGATTGCTATTATTATTATTATTATTATTATTATTGTTATTATTAATAATATTCATATATACTTATCATTAAGTTAATGTTATTATTATTCATATGTGTTATTTATGTGTTGTGTGTGGAGTGTGGCTAGCTGTTTATACAATTATTATTATTGTTACTGATAATAATAATAATAATAAATAATAATTATCACTGAGTTAATTTTCTTATTATGTACATGTGTTATTTAAATGTTATGTGCTGAGTGTGGTTCGCTATATGTAAAATTATTATTATTATTATCAGACAGTGTGGAACTCCATTAAATTTTACTTTACTGTAAAAGAGCAGCTCAGACATTTGACCTAATACCTCCTTTAGTGTGTCATGGAATAAAAGGAAAATTTTGAAACAACTTGACAGTGTATAAATGATGGATGAATAAAAAAAGAATAATTCTAACAATAATTTTACACCATGCAAAGGGAGAAACTGGCACTAGTAAGAATCTGCATTTTAAATATTATTCCATATAAATTCCATATTATGTCTGCATATTAAACTTAAAATTCAACATCCTATTAAGTAGGTATTTCAACATAGGAAGCATAGATTTATTTCAGGTTCAATATCATACTCCTTTAACTTTATTTCCATTTCAGTTTGTAAAAATAATATTTCAGAAAAAAAAACACCAAAAAAGAAGATAGTCAACAACTATTTGTTCATTCATTTTTCTTCAGCTTAGTCCTTTATTTATCATGGGTCGCCACAGCGGAATGAACCACCAACTATTTCAGCATGTTTTATGCGGCAGATGTCCTTCTAGCCAGTACTGGGAAACACCCATTCACTCTCATATTCAGTCACACTGGTGAAAACCCACGCAAACACAGAGAGAACATGCAAACTCCAGAAAAAAAGCCTCCTTGCTGTGAGGCGATCATGCTACCCACTGAGCCACTGTGCCACCCAACTATATGTTCCTGTCAAAATATTTTAGTGTAGTCTTTTTCTCTTTATTTGTGTTAATTCTTGCGTGATGATATTTTACATGTGACGTTTATTTTACATAATAAAATACAGTAGCTGAAGGTTACTTTGAATATTCCCTGTCTTGCGTTTTACAATTTAAAATTAAAAACTAAACGTACACTCTTTCAAGTGACCTTGACCTACAATCCATACCTACGGCTAGAAGAGGGTTTGTAGGAGTTTAGATTTCTTTAATTACTTTGTTTAACCTGTTAATAACATGCAGAGTGTTGATAAAAAAGCCAACCTAAATAACAACCTGTCAGTGCCAGTGGCAGTGTGATAATTACCTGGAAGGAGTTCTGCCCACTGTTATTCTTTGTGTCCTTCTTAGCTCCTCGATAAAGCAGGATGCGGGCACAGCTCTCCTACACAGAAGAATGAGACAATCAGCCTCAAGACATTGAAGACATCTGAGGCTTACTATGAAACATAATAAAAGTTTAGCATGCTGTAAATACACCACTTGTGCACAAAAAAAACTTCACTGAGATCCTTTAAAATACACTACAAAGACCATGCTAGTGATTGGCTTTCCTAGATAGGGAAGAACATGACACTAAACCAGCATAAACTATAGCCTGGAAATTATGATGTGGTGAGACAGACATTTTGAATAGGAGATACACACTCATTTCTTTATTTGATGTTTAAGTAATCGCAACTACAATATTGAAGACAGGGTGGGACATAGAGTAGCTCCTCACGTTGAAAAAAACAACCAATAGTCTTTCGTTTTTATCACTGTTCTGATAGTACGAGTGGTTAAGATCAAGTGCAACCAATGAAAAGTAGTTTTGTAGCAAACTAGCTACTAGCTATACTGATACTAACATCTATAGTACTTAATTTTTAATTTCACAGCTACGAAGAGCAAACTGTTGAAGAAAAGAATATTGAGAAATGGCTCTTTTCTTCCTATTCAGATATTATGGTTAGAATTTACAGGGAAGTAAAGAGAGTTAATTAGGAGTTCATTCACTCCACACAACTTCGATTCCCACCAGGACTGGGAATTGAACCTATAACCTTTGTATTATCAAACTCCTAAACCATTAGGCTACAACTGCCCCAAATCAAGGCCATAGCAGTGAGAGGCACACATCCTAGCCACTAGATCACCAGGCAAACAACATGAAAGCATGAACTTTTAAGACTTACAGTTTAACCTCTCGACTATTGTAATGTGATACTAGGTGGTTGCCCTGTTGGCCTTACTTACAAACTTCAGCTGATTCAAATGCAGTTTCTAAAGTAACAAAGAAATATGATCATATTGCTCCAGTTCTTTTATCATTGCATAGGCTCCCTATTAAATATTGTATAAATTTTACAATTTTATCGACCACCTACAAAGCCCTGAATGGCTTAGCTTCCCAGTATTTGAGGGAGTTCCTGTCGTATTATAGCCCCTCACGTCCACTACGCTCAATTAATTCTGGACAATTGATTATTGCCAGATTATCAAAATCAACTGTAGGCGGTAGATCTTTCTCATATCTTGCACCTAAACTCTGGAAGAGCCTTCCTATCACAGTCCAGGAGGCAGACACACTCTAAGATTAATGACACATCTTTCCGCATTAGCATAGACATAAAACACAAATGCTGTTGAAATTCAAATTCTCTAAAGGATGGTTATGCTGCATTGATTAGGGTAACCAGAGCTGGGAACACTTCACAAAAGACATTATAATTTGAATGGCTTCTGCGCTTATGTTGGTCTGTTGTTCATCATCCTGATCTCTCCATAATCCTGGACCAGGCCGCAGCTGATGCTGTGGTGGTCATGGAGAAGTAGAGAGCATGAGACTGATTCCTGAAAGACCCTAGAGTCTCCGCATTGATTTCATAGGCTGGCCAGATCACCCACCGGTGACCTACTCACACCAGCAGGTTCTTCATGATGGACGTTCAGTGTTCTCCACTCTCCGGTGCCTAGGCTGCAGCTCTGCACAAGAAGTCTGGCCAAAGGAGAAATGGTCATGCCCAACTGAGCCTATGTTTCTCTCTAGTTTTTTTTCCCTCACTTTCGTCAATTAGTGAAGTTTGTTCCTTGCCACCGTCGCTGCTGGCTTGCTTGGTTTTGAAACTTATGGAGCTGCTCATCGATGAGCTTGCTCTTCAGTGTTTGGACTTTCAGCAGTGAAAATTAAACCACACTCAACTAAACTTCAACTCTGAAAACTGGACTGACACAATTTCAGTTTACTAGAACTTCTATGTTAAGCTGCTTTGACACAATCCACATTGTAAAATCACTATAGACATTAAGATGAATTGAATCATTAAACACCACACATCATTGTGGCAGATAGGCAGTGAAGTCAAAAAGGGATCCAACCTTCTAGTAGTAAGGTGTACCTATAAAGTAAGTTGGTGAGTATATACAATATTTGCTTTGTTTTTGTGTGTAAGGTGCAGTGGTTATACCTTGTTATATAAAGCACATATGTGCAGGGCAGTGTTTCCTGAGGCATTCTGGGATGAGGAGTCTGCACCATAAAAAAGCAGGTGCTCTAAATGTTGAGAGTTCCCATTTTGACACGCCTGGAGAAAGAGACAGACCAATGAAAATATCAGTGATGCTGATACACACACACACATACACATACACACACACACACATCTAGGTGATTCTAATTCATTCATTGCAAAAATACTGATTATTATTGTTCTTTTATTTCTGTTTTATCCTAAAATGTTGATTTTTAGATTCACAGTGCATTCTGATCTATTATTATTTTTATTGATATAAATGAATAAAATGATATATATGAATGATACGATATATTGAATAATATATGATATATTGGATAATATGATATTTTATTTCTATTTTTGTTCATTAATTATATGTATATATCTTTTTTACTACTACTACTGCTATTTAGTCTGTGTACTGGTTTTTTATTATATATGTATATTCTTTTATTTTTATGTAAACTTTATAAATGCTTTGGCAATACATTTGTAACCTTTGTCATGTTAATAAAGCAATTATAGAATCGAACTGAGCGAGGGGGGGCAAAATAAATGCTGCTGAAAAATACTGATTGGTAAAGAAAAACAATCGAACAAAAAAGAGAGAAGTGGATTAGAAGAGGCAGAATCAGTCATTTGACACAAGAATGGGGAAAGAGGGAACAAAGAATAGATTTTATAGATTGTCAGAACAGACACATTTGATAATTAACACCACAGTGAACGTGTGAGTGAGAGAAAGAGAACGAAAGTATCAAAATAGATATGAAAATGCTCACATGTACAAAGAGAAGAAAAACTGAGCAGTGATTCTCTGATTTCTTTAACCTGATTTAAGAGTGGATTTTTAAATTTGTTCAAATGTCCGTAACATCTAGTTTAGCTTTTATAAATACTACATTTAATCGATAAACACTACAAATGACCTTACTTATGTTAAATTGTTAATTTCAACCAATGATTTAAGGTTAAAAAAAAAACTTAGATGATTTTAATTTGATGACAAAGTTGATAATAAATTTGATGAGTGTATTACTGTATATACCCACCCCTGACGGACTTTTGAATGAATTACTGATTATACTAAATGATACCTAGTTAAAATATGAGTTTTTCTTGGTTACTACTTAACTAGGCGAAATATATTATTGAATATGAGAAATTTTGCACATTTAAAAAAATACTAATAAAACATTCTGTGGTGGCAAAGCTGAATTTCTAATGTCTTCAGCACATTGTCCTTCAAAAATTATTCTATAATGCTGCTTTGGTGCTCAAGTGACACACTATTATTATTATTAGTAGTATTAATATAATTAATAATATTATCATCACAGTTTAATTACTAGTGAAATGTTTTATGCAAAGCTTAAACCCCTGGTCTTAAAAATTGTCACTTCCACACATTTCCAGTATCTGTCATCCACTTATTGTCAGCAATTTTTTTTTTCATACCTGATGTGTCTCATCCCAGCCGTTCTCATCGCGGAGCCCCAGCCTGGCTCTGTGGTATAGCAGGGTCTCGCAGCAGGAGGTGTCGCCCCCTATCAGCACAGTGTGGTACAGTGGTGTCAGCCCACGGCTGTCCTTATAATCAGAAGACGCCCCCAAAGACAACAGCGTCTGAACAGTAGAAGACACGGGATTACATTTTAATTTGAACCTGTTTTAAATCCTAATCAGGATGTAAAGTTGCCTTTGTGTTTGTGTTACCAGTAGGGCAGTGTGTGCATGTGCTCTGACAGCCTTGTGCAGAGGGGTCAAGCCATCTCTCGCCCTAAAGTCAATGTGGGCTCCACCCATCACCAGCACCCTGATGATCTCACTTCCGCCCGGCTCCGTCTGTACGGCCAGAGTGAGTGGAGTCTCTGTTTCACACACACAGACAGAGTTTGAGTACTCATGTTAGGGTTAGTTGTCAGTATAGTGTACACATTCATGTGTCACATTTAGTTGCGCCTCTGACGTATTACCTCAGATGCTCATGTGTTTTGCTTCAAAGAAAGTTGCATGCAGGCATATGGGAGGGAGACTTTTTTCCTATAGACCTTTTCCATAGAATTAAAAATTGCCCATTATGCTTTGCGTGTATACGTATATGGATCTTCCAGTTGGCAGCTTGATACATATAAAGTCACATTTTGACAGCTATTGGTAGTTTAAATATATTTTAATTGCTTTTAACAGCAGTCACTGAATCAGGAGAATGTTTTTTTTTTCGCATGTGAACCGCATTTGACAGAAGTATAATGACGCCATCAAAGTTGTGCATCACAAAAACACTACATAACCCTCACAAAATGGTATTGACAACCACTTTCAGACTTTTCACTTCCAGACTCTTGCTGATGACAATTCTAAATGGTAGTTTTAAGCATCCTACCGGAAGGGTCTGCTCACAATGGTGCCCTCCATGCAGCAATCAAGATAAACGTCTATACTGACACTGATAGGAAGAAACTGTAGAATACAGTTGTTATTTTACACAAAAGAATAATTGTAGCTTAATAATATTCCAACTGAACCTCTGAAGGCATATGGTCTGTTTTAAGGAAAATTTTTGGTACCTTTACAGACTTTTGACAAGTCAGGAACCTTGCTGTCTATGGAGGATGAGGAAGCTCTTTTGATTTCACCTAAAATATCTTAATTTGTGTTCTGAATATGAAGAAAGGTCTCAAGGGTTAGGAATAAGTTGTGGGTAAGTAATTAATAACATTATTATTATTTTTTGGTGTACTAACATGTTTTGTACTTTCAACAGAGGCAAGGTTTTTAAGGGGCAATCCCAATTTTACCCCTTAGCCCTTCCACTTACCCCTGCCCCTCATTTTGCATTACCTTAAATGGGCAGGGGTGTCCTAATTCTCTTTAGCTTGAAGGCATAGAGCTACGAGGAAGGGCTAGATAGCCCCTGAAACTGAGATTTTTTCAGGATCGCACTCAAAACCAAACGGGACAAAAATTTCTTAGAGTACATAATCTACAACGACAGTGTTGCTGCACACTGAAGTCAGGAAATTAGTATGAATTGTCATTATTAGGAATTTTTACAACAAACAAGCATATGTTTTAATGTATTCATAACAGCGCCCATGTTTTACCGTCATATTTAAAAAAAAAAACAACAATTAAAAAATGCTAAATTTGGCTATTTATAATCCAAAATCTAGTGGCTGCGAATGAGCTTTTTACAGTGTCTGGTATAATGTTAATGTTAATGTTGTTTTCGTGTTTTCAGATGAATATGGCCATGGTGTAAATTCACAGTACAGTTGCGATCTTATTGCCACATTATATCATTATGATAACATGATATTGCTGTCTTTTGTGATTTACTGAAGATAAATAAAAAAAAAATTTTTAAAACGCAAATAACTACAGCATTCACAATCGTCAATCTCATATGAAGGAAGAGATTGTGATGACATATGATGACGTGTGCAGGTGTTGTAGTTGTGTCCCATTTTTAGGAGTCAATTTTGAAGCTCTTCCCTTTTAAACTCTGTTTCAAGAGTCAAGGGGAAGGAGAAGGGGTAGGGGTAAAACAAATAGAATTGGGATTGGGCCTAAATTGCATAAACGGTGCATCCTGTGTTTTAAAGGCAAAACTATAAACTATACTTTGCTTTTACCCATATGTCAGCATTTGCACACAGCCTCTCACAGCTTACTCTATTTGACAGTGTGCACAAACAATTTGTCTAGTGTGGGAGGGTGAGTGTTATGGAGGCTAGCGAGTGTGAGCAGTGCAAGTTAACCTCACGTTCCTGATCTCAATAAGTGGACTAGCAACAGATGCTAGGGGCAGTGGTCTTTGCCATCCTTGTTAGCACGCCTGCCTCCCACACCTGGTTCGAACCCTGCTGTGAGTTGAGCGAGTAGAACGTGAAGGTTTACACTTTGTTGTACAGATGTTGATTTCGACTATTTTCACATATAGCTACTGTGGTTATAAATACTGTAGGTAACCCAACCCTAAACCTTAACATGGATATACTGTATATAAAGAGATATAAAATAAATAAATAAAAATCATTTGAAAATTCAGTTTTCTGGATTTATTTGGACGGTATTCTGAGTGGTTGTCATTTTCTAGGAAAAAAAAAGGGACAAAATGTCAATAGTTGTTTCTGAAATCGTATCCTATACCATCATTCACTGTTTCCTACATAAGACCTCTAATATAGTCCACTTTAATGCGTGAATAAAAACAAGCGAGTGAATTTGAGCCCTACACTGGAGGAGATGTTGTTTTCCTTATGCTTTGCTGGATGATAAATCCCTCAGACGGATTCGATTTTCAACTTCTTGGTCAGACCCTGTGATCGTAATTTAACACTTGAGGTGTCTATTTGTAATGAACCAAAGTATTTTGATTTCTGTCATGTATGTTATAAATGTTAATTCAAACTGTATGCCATCTTGTGGTCAGACATGAACAATCATTTGGTGTGCAAACTATCACAGTGCATTATGAGTAATCTCTAGCCGTTGAGCGTACATCAGTTGTGCTTTGGCATGGACTCTTATCTACAAACTACATAACTTTTCTTCCCACCAGTGCTACTGTACATATGCAAAAATAAAAATATTTTATTTAAAAATAAATTTATTTTACAACGGAAATTATGTATTCATTTATTCATACAATTTCTTGTCGGCTTAGTCCCTTTATTAATTTGGGGTCGCCATAGTGGAATGAACCGCCAACTTATCCAGCATAAGTTTTACGCAGCAGATGCCCTTCCAGCTGCAACCCATCATTGGGAAACATCCATACACTTATTCACACACACACACTACAGTCATTTTTTAGCATACCCAGTTCACCTATAGCGCATGTCTTTGGACTTGTGGGGGAAACTGGAGCACCCAGAGGAAATCCACGCGAACTTGGGGAGAACATGCAAACTTCACACAGAAATGCCAACTGACTCAGCCGAGGCTCGAACCAGCGACCTTGCTGTGAGCCGAACGTGCTACCCACTGCAATTTCACAGTAACTATAGGTGCTATTCCTTCTGAATCACTCATGCTTTTATAAAAACAATACAATATCACTAGTAGGAACCGTTACAATTCCAGAATCAGTGAATACACCTATTGGGGAAATTTGTTTTGCTATAAAGAAAAAAAAAAAAACTATAAAATAAGAGCTCTATTCCTTGAAAATACTGTCTCTACCCCTCCTGCTCTCTCACATTTGAACAGTCTTTTTGATCATTTAAACTGGTAAAAATATATGGGCCATACAGCAAACATTTTTCCTTACTGATAAGGTAAAGGAAATATCTTTTAAATTATTACATAACATTTACCCTGTCAAAAACTTCTTAAAGAAAAGATTTGGATCAGACTTTGATACTAACTTTTGTCAGAATAACACTGAAACTCTTTCTTGCTTATTTTGGGCATTCAACCATGTGTTTTAATTTTAGCTAGATGTTATTTTATTTATGTCAAATATTACTTCACAGAATTTTTCTGTGACTATAAAAGTAATTATTTTAGTTTATTTTAATACAAATTTAACCATCTGCTGTATAAAAAAACATATTCTTTTTAATGCAGATTTTACATTCATAAATGTATACATTTTTAAATTGCAAGCTAGTATTTATAGTATTTATAAACGAGATTAAAAATTACTTACAATTCCAGATTCACTTAACAAGAAAGCACTCAAAACATATACAAGTTGCAGGACCTTTAATATGTATATTCTATTAAATATGTAATATGCTGCTATCATATTATTTTGCCCTCTTCCCTCTCAATTTCTTTCATATTTTATATCTATCCTCAAATCCGATGATATATTGTTATCTCTTTAATTTTTGTTTGATTTCTGTTTTTTCCCCTACTTCTCTCGGTTTTCATTCTTTATTGGCACCATTGTAAATAATCTAATGATTATTATTGTAAATGATGTGTACCAAATGTATCTTTCTGTTATACAGTAAATGTTAAAAAAAAAAAAGTGACATCCACTTCAGAACATCCACTATGGTTTTGAAAACCATTTTAAATATGGCTGCTTCCTCAAATAGAGCACTGTTTGAGGGTATAGGGGGTGGTTTTAGACACAAACAATATTTTTACTTGTTATATTTGATAAAATGGCAATAAAAAAAAAAATTTACTAGAAAAGCTATCAGATCTTCATAGAATAAAACTAAGATTAGTATTTTGGTCAAACTCATATCTAATAAATCTAAAAACAAAACCAAAAAAATCATGTTATTTTTTTCACAGAACTTTAACTTAAGATGATATAAAAGACTATTAATTCTGTTGCAATTTTCATTTTATGTTGCACAACTTGTTCTTTTAAATGATTTAAATTGTCATTATTTTAATGTTTGTAATGGCCCCCCAGTTGAAAACCATTGATGGTAACACAAAAGAATGTTCGCTTCTCAGATCAGTCTCCTAGTGGCTGCAAATGGCACAGCAGTTCTCACTTTCCCTTGAGCAGGGCTTGTGCTGAGAAGTGACTGTCAGCCTGGCAAGCATAACATCAACTCAGTGACAAGGCAGACAACGCAAACTGTGAAAAACACTCAAGGTAGCCGTCTCGCTAAGTCACACATTTCCGCAAACCAGCGCTAATATTACTCTGCATTATCATCTGGTCCACAAAACGACTTTCACAGCATGTCTGGCCACTTCATGCAGCTCGCCGAAGTGCTAAAAACTTTAATTAATATGCCACAAAAGATGCTGGCCCGTTACAAAAACATTCAATATATTCAGTGGTCTTCCTCTGTTGACACCCACTGAACTGAACCATCGAGCAGCAGTAATAGTTTCATCTCATTAAGCAGCCCAAGAACACTAATTGGGTTTTTGTTTGTTTGTTTGTTTGTTTAGAGCGCACTCACTGTGTCTAAAGTTGACCTTATGATCTTTTTTTTTGCACAATTTCAACTCCAGATGACTTGTGTTGGAAATTGCATGGATCGCTTGAGAAGATGCAAATGTCCATTCCTGTAAACACTCATTGAATATTCATGAAGCCCTATTTCCATATGCATACAGCATGTGTGGCCAGTTTATGCTCTGCTGGCAGTGATTCATTATTCGGCTTACTAATGGGAAGTTCATTAACTCTCGCAAGAAGCGTCTGACACCTCACCTCCTGTATCAGGGTCGTGGTAGTTGGGGTCAAGTCCTTTATCAATAAGTTTGGCTACCTTTTCCACAGCGCTGGTCTGGATGTAGTCCATGAACTTCTTCAGACTGGCCTGTAGGGGTAGACACGTTACTCAAGGCTCAGAGCTAATACGTGCCTTAAATGAGACTGAACCAATCCCAAATGGCACATTTTTTGTGCCTAATTGCTGTTTGCGAGTGTCCATTAAAGTTGCTTTTTGTAAGTTTTTGACTCTTCTAAAGCATAAAAACGTAATGCAAATATCTAGAAAACTTGCATACTTGTTTATCTGAAAAACACTGCTACAGTTACAGTTATTCTTCTTTTAAAAAAAGTGTCTTCTGTGTTAGAATGTTTGTCTTAGTTTTGGTCTGTGTAACCACTGCTAGTTTTTCAATTATATTTTAGCACCTCAGGTTGCCTTCATGGAAAACACAGCATATTGCAGTTCAGTCTTAAAGGGTCACGAAACACCAAAACACATTTTTTGAGCTGTTGACAGTCGTATATGTGTCCCACACTGCTAAAAACACTATTAAGACACCTATATTTCACAAATAGGGGGACAAAGGGGGGCATTGCCCCCTCAGAAAGATTTTGAGTTTTTATAAAGGATTGTTCACTCAAACTGAAAATTCTTTCTGTCATTAATTATTAACACCCCCGTCGTTCCAACCTTAAGAACACACATTTAAATAGTTTAAAATACATGACATAGCAATTGAATTATGAAAATGGTGAGATTAAAGCTAGTCCTAGTTCAGAGATCCGGTCCCCGCGTCAGGTCAGGTGCGCCCGTAAATAGCCTTTAAAACGCGCACACGGCGATGGAGGCGCACTCAACTCACAAGGGAGAAAAGTGGATGACATGATAGGAGCAGCTTAATTCATCACATGCTTTGGTTAACTAATTATTTAAACACAACTCTCTTGAGCTCTAAAAGGAAAAAACACATAAGAAATTTGCTGTTAAATTAATTTTAGCAGAGACGCAACTACCAGTCATTTATTAGTTCGGGAAGATGTAGCCTAATAAAAATGTTTTAATAAAAACAAATAGTTTACTGCACAGTCCCACAGTAGGCTACACTATAAATAATATTTTAATTTATTTATTAATATTATTATTAATATTATTACAATTAAACTAAAATTGACAACGCAGAACTCTCTGAATGTTTGCTTTCATTGTGCTAAAAAGCGCACTTTTACAGTTGTGTAGAGAAATATCCCATTATGCAGCAGCAGTCAAGGTATAACACGTAATAAATGCCTTTTGCGTTTATTAAGTCAAGTTTGCAGTGTTATAAATGGAATATAGTGCTTAAGTGGATTTATCGCGGATCAACCGAGAAACCTCTCACGTGCTGCAGGTAGGCAGAATGATCATCTTTTAAAAATGTCATTTAGGCTATACTGCTTTTTGCTCATGCAAAATTAAACAGCATAAAATATATTGTAGATCTATTTTAAGAGCTAAAATACAACATATCGAGTTTGTTTTGACTTGTAGCTCATGGCCCTAAAATGAAAATAACCTGAAAACAAGCTATTAAAAAAAGGCTTAATAAAATAATTAATAAATAAAATGACGGGTAGGCTTAGTAACCTATGGTTTATGATGGTTTACAATATCACGAAAAAAAAACACACGATAGCCTAAGATAAATCTTTGTTTTTACATTTAAAATGATGAAAAAAAAGTTATATAGCATATTGAGTTGCGTGTTATCCGTGCCAAAATTTTAACCAATTTTCACGGTAATAACATGTGAATTTTGGTATCTTTTTTAGGTATTTTTCTGGCTACACTAATGCATTAAAATGAAACTAAGTAATTGTTTTAAATGACATTAGATTGTAACATTTAGCTTTTCCCTAACACTGATGTTGGTTGTATAATAGGCTACGTGAAGCGGGATGACTCGGTTAAGCTGATTTCACTATATTTATTTACCGGTTAAATGAATAGTCTGATCGTGGGTCAGCTTGCATGTGTGGGCATAATTTGATGTCTTTACCTAAAACTTTAAACATTCATAGGCCTTATTTAAAATAAAACGGAAATAAGGAGAATAACATATGATTTAAAGCACTCGTTTGGCACTGAAGCCATGATCCGTCTGCATTAATAAGCGGTAAGCATTACTATCGTTAATAAAATTCGTAATAGCGAAACTGCATATTGTTTTTACTATTAAAACGTAGCCTATATTACTGCCTTAGGTCAGTAACTTAGGCAGTAATGCAAAGTAATAATAAATGTGAATAAATAGCCTAAATGAAAGAAACAAGAGACCAAAATGAGTCACCAAGCCTAGTGCCCCCTATGGATTTAAAGTGCCCCCTCAGTTTTGACTTCCTGGCGCCGGGCCTGTGCCAGAGTGAGTCTTATTACGTCTTACAGTGTGTTGCATTAATGCATGAGTAAGGCTTGGTTCAAACCCATCAGCGCGCTCTATTGTGCAACTTCATTAATATTCATTACTGTGTTTACATGACATAGATGCCACGTTGTGTTGGCAAAACAAGCGTGAAGTGTTGCTTTTATAGTTTGCTGCCGTTAAGTTTCGTTTTCTTTTTCTCTCTGTGAGAGCTCAGACTCACGTGTGGATTACAGTGTACGCGACGCTCGACAACAATAACTTACGTGTCTAAGGAGGAACATTGTTTACCTGAGAGCTGTTCTCATCTGCAAACGCTGAGATCGGATTCGCTTGTAGTATTCTCTTCATAAAGACGCGGCTCTAGTTGCTGGTGATTGTCCTGTCTCTACAAATTTGGTAAGTGAGCGACCAGTGCTCTGTTTATTCAGTTTGTTCGTATCGAACTAAGTTAACTATTGCACCGTAACATGTTAGGACCACAACCAAACTTTAACCTTGTTTTAACGCTACCTGCCGTGTGCATCTAAGTTTCGGGAAATGCTGAGGTTTTTTTTTTCTCTCATTCGCCGTGCGGTATCAAACATTGCATGAAAAATACACGCTTAGAGCAGATCCTCGAATCAAATATCTCGTTTATCGCGAGGGGCATGAAAGAATTCCCTGAATGAAAGAGCCAAACTGCAGTTAAAGTCCACCATTTAATAATTTGGCAAATAATTCCACTACAGCTGTCCATGTAGGTTAAACACCATCACTTTCTACTGTGTGTGAGTATTTTGACGGAAACTCGCGCGTGCCCAAATAGACACTCCCACACCCTCCCACTTTAGTTCCTCCGACACTCCCCCCTAAACAGAGCTGGACACGCCCACTTTTCTGACTTTTTCCAAAGTAGAGGTGTGAAAACACCCTGCTGAAACGAGGGGGTTTCATGGCCCTTTAAAGTCTGCCTAAATGTAAGTGGGTGGACCAAAAAATGTGACAAATGAGAAGTAGATTCTGAGTTATAAACATCCACATGAGGAGGTTTTTAAATAGCAAATAATCTACATTTTACAAATGTAAAAATTAGCTGAGCAGCTTACAGTATACACTCTCAGAAATAAAGGTACGCGAGCTGTCACTGGGGTGGTATCTTTTCAGAAGGTACATGTTTGTACTTAAAGGGTGCATGCTGGTACCTCAAATGTATATGTTGTTAGTACCAAAAAATTTTAAGTGGAACACTTGTGTTCTTTTATGGTGATAATAAGTACCCTTGAGGTATCAATATGCACCATTTAGGGATAAATATGTACCTTTTGAAAAGGTACCACCCCAGTGACAGCTCGCGTATCTTTATTTCTGAGAGTGTAAGGCTTAATTGTTCTGTTGGTGTCGTTAATCTGGCCCCTTGTGTGTGCGTTCAATCATCTAAGGATGTGTCGGGTGAAAAAACCCTCTCTGATGTTTTGAATTTGGACTGCAATACTAAGGCTGGGCGATTAATCGAAAAAGTAATCGAAATCAACATTCAGAACCTATAATCAATATAATTTTTCCAGGTAAATTTTTTTTCCCTACTTTATTTGAAGTCACATGACCCCGCTCTGTTGATGCTAATTTATACTTCTGCGTCGAATGCATGAGTATTGTCCGGCGCAGCCTTCGAGTCGTCGCATACCTTATTGACCATACACTGACGATATTTGGAAGCTGCGCCAGATATACCTTGAGATGGCATATTTTCTATTACAATAAAACTATTATTTACATTACTTGTTCAACTAATCGAGATTTTGATTTTAGGCCAAATTGCCCAGCCCTTTGCAATACCATCATAAGGGACACCGTCCATCCAAGCGCATGGTTGCCTATTCATCATTTTAGCTGTCAGAAATCTGCTCATGAATGCCCATTTTTGCAAGCACTATCTGTCGTCAAAGCATACTTCAGGTGAGCCCTGAGTAGACCAACAGTTCCGTTAATGCATTGTTACATAATAAAATGTAAACTTTTAGAAGGAAAAATGTGAGTGTTTTGGGTGCCATTTGGGATTGGTCCCTACTTATTTTTAACTAACATATTATATTTTAGTTTGTTTCTGTGGTGAGGCTTACCTTAGTATGTAGTTTGGCCAGCTGCTTCTCATCTAGATTTGTCTGTTTGTACACCCTGGTTTTATATCGGAACTGTGTGGGAAAAAAGTTGGTGCAAATCAGTGACAGACAGATATATGGATTAATAATTTATTATTAAGGCATTCCTTATATATATATAAGTTATTATATGAGTTATTATATATGAGTTATTATATATATAAGGAATGCCCTAAAAATTATATATATATATAATTAATAAGTATAACTTAAAATAAATATAAATTAAAGTAGCAAAAAGTTTACAGTTTATAGTATAAACAAGTTTATTACTATAATATTAAGTCCATACAGTTTTTAAAAGGCATGATTGCTAACAAAAAACTATTGTTGAAACTATTATAAAATTTAATAACTGATTCAAGGTGATTGAAATTAATCTGGAATACACTTTACATCTAGATAAACAAAACTAACCTCCCGAATACTTAAATATGAAATTAGCTTTTAATGCCCTTTTACTCATACAGTGATCCTTCCTCATGCCTCGTTTTCGGTGCAAATGTTTAAGGAATCTTATTTCAAGATTGTTTATTTTGGAAAAGACACGAAAAGTCTTGTTTATACTACATCAAAAATAAAGTGAGCTAAAACAAGAAGAAACATAGGATTATGCACTCCAAAAAAAATTTGCTCTTGGTTTTAAGATAATCATTTGTATTGGAAAACAAATATATTGAGGAAGATAATATTGTGCGTTGAATCCAACATTTAATCCCATGACTTCATTCATCTTAAATCCTTATATTTAACATCTTTTAAAGCCTAAAATTGTGGGAGGCTGATCTACTGTACAACCCTGAGATAGAACAAAAATAACACTAAGCTAATATATAGGTGTAAATTAAGAGCAAAAGTGTAATCCTTGATTTAGTAAAATATCAAGTACTCTAAACCATAGGCATACTGAGAGGCACTGCTGTTAATCGTGAGCTGTAACTCTTCATAAATGGGAAAACAGTAGCATTTGAGTTCCTTTAACAAAGAGGTGTCACTATCAGTATTATTATGATCAACATTAGATAAAACAGGCTTCTAGGAATTGGACTCTAAGCTGACTATTGTTGTATAATAGTACTTGCTCAAAATATAATAAATAATAATAATTGTAATAGTTCTTATTACATGACAAATTTCCATGTAAGGGTTATTAAGATTCATAGTTACCAGAGAAGCTGCTAAAAGAATTATCACCAAGGCAACAAACAATTTGAAGCAGCAGTTTCCTAGCACCAATGTTCACATTCAATTATAGAGCAAGAGTAAAAAAAACATTAAAAAAAAAGTAAAACACAAAACGGAAACAAAAGGAAAGCTACCTCCAGGTAAGGTACTCCTTTCTCAAAGGATTGTGGGTACTCGCGGAGCGGCCTCTCCTCCTCCAGGAACTTGGCATCGTGCCCGTCAGTGGCAGGTTGAAAAAGACCATAGTTTAAAACATCCCTCAGAGACTCAGTCAGACTGCACATCACCTGCTGCTTCGCCTTCCATACGGTTGCATCAGGGTTGAACCTCAGACATTTCTATGGAGACAGAAAGAAAAAACAATGTCTGTCAGACAAACAGATTTAGCTGCTGAGTTTATATCATACAATATTATATTATATTATATTATATTATATTATATTATATTATATTATATTATATTATATTAGTGAAAAATATAGGCAGAAAAGTACAAGGCTAGTGGTGGGAATATTAATGAGACACACACAGTAAAAACCCACTTTTACAATGGAGAACTTGCAGACAACATTCAGTAAAAAATGTATTTTAAGTTCTTATTTTTATTAATTTAACATTTCCTAGGGCAAATAGTATTTTACACTATTCCACCATGAAAAATACTATAGTAAATTATGTAAATACTTTTTTTATAGTAATTGTATTAATTTGTTTGGGTAATTTTATAGTTGCAGTGGTAATACAACAGCTATAGCAATATAAACAAACTATCCAATACTCTACTACAGTTGCTATAACTATAGGTTATATTTTATTACAATACAACACAGTTTACTGTAGTAAAAACTAAAGTATACTAAAGTATTTATCACAGTTTATCAGTTCACAATACTTAATACTACAGTATGCAAAGAGTTATAAAATACTATATTATAAATAATAAGCTAATATATTTTACCATGGTATGGTTCAAAACACTATATTATAAATTACTATAGTATTTTTCTCATGCAAATAATAAACCTGAATTACATACATGTGCACTTTTTGTACACGTATAAATGGTTTGATACACATTTGGTTTTTACACAGTTGGTTTATAATGTACACTTTTTTTTAAATCAACTAACAGTAAACAGTAAAGTTTTTTAGATTCAATAGCGTAACACTTCTCTAAAAAGCGGGTGTTATTACAGTCTGTTATTTTACAGATGACGATCTTTCCATAGAGCACTGCAATTTGGCCTCCTGTTAATGTTCGGGTTTTATCATGTGCAGACTCCTCTGCTTGTTTAAGCATTTAACATATTGTGTGTCCCCATTGACCCTCATGAGGCAGAAACAGTTCTGTCCAGTGTGCACTAGAGGGAGACATTGTGATTCACTGGGGTGAAACTGAACCGCTTGTCAGATTAGCAGATCCCTGGCCACTAACCGTCCATCAGCCTCATTAACATCTCATTTGAGTCTCTGCTCACCCTGGTAGTGCTAAATGGCAATGCTAATTGATTAATTAGCCTACAATAAAAACTATTAACAACTCAGTTGTTAGGAATGTCCAAAACCTGATATGATTTCTGACACTCCTTACTTCACAAGTACTGTTCGTTTCCTGCTTTGACATAGCCTAAAACTAGCTTGAGCACTAGCTCCAGGCTAAAGTACTAATGTTAGCTTCAAGCTACAGTATGAGACTGAATTTTAGGACAGCAGCGCTGTTCCAGGAACTGTGAAAATGGGACAGCCCTGCAGCAGAGTGCTGGAATGGACCCCCTCCTCTGACCTTGAGGAGTTCCAGTGATTGGCTGCTTGCGTTTAGGGTTTAAGGCTATGTTTACACTTGTATATTCATTCAATCCTCCTTCACACTGGCATTTCAGAAAATATATCTAACCACAGTACATGACCAAAAACCCTAAAAGCAGAAGCAAATTTACAGTACAAAAATTGCCAATATATATTTAATGGTTAAACCAAACAAGAATATAATTCATTATATTAAAAACATATTCAACTGTGTTCAGAGGTTATCATGTTGCATTTGGTAGCAAATCCTTTTAAATGTTACCTGTATTTAGAACAGAATCAGGTCAAATTTAAATTTATAATCAACTATATAATCACAGTACAAAGCTATATATACAGTTAACAAATAAGACAAAATGCAATAGTATTCATTCTAAGTGTAACACACCAGTCATTACTGCACCCAACCAGCTCTGAGTTGGGATCGAACTGACGTTTCTTTGCATGGGAGTCGGTTGCTCTAACAAGGAGGCTTAAGACCAAGGTGTCTAGCATCTGTCGCTAGAACACCTTTAGAGGTCAGAGGAGTGAGGTTTACATGAATAGCACTTCACTAGCTAGTCTCCATTACACTCACTCCCCTAAACCTCACTCCCATCTCGGACGAGCCCTCAGATGTAACCCACCGGCCCTTATTGCACGCAACCCGCTCTGATTTGGGATTGAACCGGCGATCCTTTGTATGGGAGTTGGTTGCTCTAACAAGGAGGGTACACTCAAAAAAATAAACTAGGCATGTATTGGATTTACAAAATAAAAATTTGTCAGATTGAAAAGAACAAATCAAGTTTACGTATGTTAAATGATTAATTCATGTTATTTGAAACTGAATCAAGAAATAATCAAATGAATTTGATCAGAACATGTTGATTCAATGAGACTGAGACGCTTCAAATCGACAACTCTTACTCTGGAGAGTCACTTCGCGCATATCAGTAGGTGGCGGTAGTGCGTTTGGATGTCACCATACGAAAACACGAAAGAAGTGTTTTCGGCACAGTTTGGGAATTGTTTTTCCCAAGAGCTTGAATGTTATGCATGTTATGTTGTTGGCTATATGTTTCCTATACATTTTATACTTTTACATTTTGAATAGGAGTACCAAAGTGAAGAAAGCTGTTTAAACTCAATTGGTAAAAAAAATGATGTTAACGTCCTACAGGTATTGCTTGGGGATCAGTTTTCTTAAGAGCCAAGGTTATTTTGTTGGCTAAATGTTTCTTATACATTTTATATTACATATTACAATTTTGGATATTATATATTATTTTGTATCAGAATATTAAAGAAGAAATTTGTTTAAATGTGATTGGTGCCTGCTAAAGGCTATAATAAAAGAAATATATATATACATATATATATATATATATATATATATATATATATATATATATATATATATATATATATATATAACATGTTTTCTGTCCTTTTTGTGTTGAATTACTTAATTTTAAATCTTGCTTCATAGTATTGTAATTTTAAAAATGTAATTTAAACAACAGGGCGCAGTGGGTAGCACGTTCGCCTCATAGCAAGAAGGTCGCTGGTTCGAACCTTGGCTCAGTTGGCGTTTCTGTGTGGAGTTTGTATGTTCTCTATGCCTTCGCGTGGGTTTCCTCCGGGTGCTCCGGTTTCCCCCACAGTCCAAAGACATGTGGTACAGGCGAATTGGGTAAGCTAAACTGTCCGTAGTGTATGAATGTGTGTGTGTGAATGTTTCCCAGATGGGTTGCGGCTGGAAGGGCATCCGCTGCGTAAAAAACTTGCAGGATAAGTTGGTGGTTCATTCCGCTGTGGCGACCCCGGATTAATAAAGGGACTAAGCTGACAAGAAAATGAATGAATGAATTTAAACAACAATATTGAACAAGAAATTTACTAGCTGATTTAACAAGACATATTTTGTTAAAGTAAAGCTTTAGTGTTACATTGAGTAAATTAGAATCATTTTAATTAGAATAACACAATACAAACATTTTGAGTCAATTAGTAGCAAAGAAGTTAGACTGAAATATTGAAACCATGTTTTATCTACAAATGTGCTTTGTGTTCATACAACATGTTCAAAGCAGTTCAGGTTTACTTGATTGGATTAGATGCATAAAGGGTGCCACGATTAAATCATGTTCATTCAACAATTTTTTTTTGAGTGTATGTCCATGGCCTCTAGCCTCTGTCACTAGAGCACCTTTAGAGGTCAGGAGTGAGGTTTACCTGCATAGCACTTCGCTAGCTGGTCTCCATTACATAAGCAACATGAATCCGGTAAAGAAGAAAGAGAGAAAGTATTGATTTTTTTTTTTTTTACCAGCGCTATATTTTATATAAATAAGGTTTTGTACTGAATTCATTTTTCTGTATTCACATAAAACAATATAATTTGGCAGCGATTGGTGAGACAGACACAGGCTGTACAAATGACCATTTAAATTGTGCAATGTTTTTCGTTCGTGTATGATTGCTTGATTGAGGGCTGTGAAGCTAGCAATGCAATGAAATATTGTGAGCATGCGAGATGCCTGAGTTATTATAAGGCAGAAACAATGTTCAATGTTATAAACTGTTCTCTAATATCTACATAGGTTTGTGACATAGGGTAGTTCAAAAAGGATCCAGAAATTGTTTTACATTCTCATTTATAATCACACAAATTACCTCTAAAATAAAATACTCAGTTTTAACCATATTTAAAATATCTGTGAGTATTAATGAGCTCTGCTTTGATTTCTGAAGCTCGTGTCAGTGCCTACTCTCATAGGTTGGAATTTTTAACCTCTACATAAACAGATGAGTATTGTAAAGTAAGTTTGAGTGTTATTTCCTCTGCTCTGTGACACTGACTGTAAAAGCTGAGTGATATTACACAATGCATAAATGTGCATGAAGCACTTATACTTAGTCTATATGTATTGGATGGCTCCTTAGAAACATACAATAAATTTACAAAATATGCAATTTAACAGACCGTATGCCTCTTCGAGGTGGCACTAAATAATATTACAATTCAGATATGCCTTTCTAAAAAGCTGTGATCATGGCTGCCTATTTAACAAGGCTGCTTTTTAGACTCCATTCATACTGTATATCTCATGTTTATCTAGAGCCTCACATACATAGCATGTTAAATAAAAGCTTAGATCAACTTAAAATAAAGTAAAATATCATTGTTGTAATCTCACTAGCAAACATTGTGACCAATCAATTAATACTTCAGTATAAATGACCCTCTGTGGATTGTCAGTCTGGTTTAGATTGGCCTGTTTTTCACAGAAATGTTACATTTGTAGAATTTAATTAGAACTTTCATTAGAATTTACATAAACCTATAGAACGAGGAAAAAAATGGTGTGTGAGGCTTCTTTCTATTTAATTAACTCTAATTATTCAGCTATGCCAAGTTATATCTTTATTTTCATTCTATCACTTTTAAAATATAATTCTTAGGTCGAACAGATCCAAGGTAAATATCAATAAAAACATTTTAAAACATTTATTTGTATCTACTCTCAAATAAAACAAAACAGAGCCA